TTTTGTACTTTGAACATGTTTGTGCCTTGAAATGTTTTACCTTAATTTGTTTGTGTGCTGAACCTTTTTTTACACTTTGAACGCGTGTTGACATTTGTTTTACTTTGAAGGTCTGTGTGTGTTGAAATTTTGGTTTAATTGATTTGTTGATGTATTGAAATCTTGTTTTGATTTTAACACGTTTATGTGCTGAAATGTTGTTATACTTTGATCGCGTTTGTGTGTTGAAATATTGTATTACATTGAAAGTGTTTGTGTATTGAAATGTTCTTTTACTGAATGTTCTTTTTAGCATGATGAAGACGTTTTATGTACAAGACATTCATAGATATATAACATGATGGACAGGAGCTAAACTCTCTCACTCTCACTATAAACTAAATGATTTGCCACTGGGGAGGGAAGTGTTTTAACTGATGGCCCAAAGGGAACTTGTCAACTTGCATATTTTGGCGCGTGTAGCGAAGCCTTAGGGCTTTAAGGTTAATGAGGACATATGAGCTTTGGTTACTAGGTATCAACATGTACCAAAATGAAGCCAGTTAACCCTCTGGTTGCCGAGTTAGTTGTATTTTGTTACGCACATTTTCAAAAGCTCAGTGCTCGCGGCATTGGGTCTCAGGCCCACGCGACAAACGCCAATGACGATTACATTAAAAATACCCGCAATCTGCCAAATCTGATAGTTTGAAGATTTAATATACTGATAATATTCTGCTTCACGTCATGCCGACACTTATATATATTATGACGCTCATCTCCGGGTTCAGTGTTTATTGATTAAGGGTAAGACAATATATCTGGGAACTGTATTGGAACCATAAATTGTTTGTATTGCTCGGTTCCCGCCTGTATAAAGAACCACACTCCGGTTACTCGCCAGCAGCACCCGTCCTTACACTGACCCTTTTCCCGATCTGAACCCGTGCGCTTGCCGGTGTGACTACGGTAGAGCAGTTGTCATGCTTGTGAATACCTAGTAATTGTTATCATCATTTGAGCTGCTCAACTGGTGTCATCAAAGTCGTTCGTACATACATACATACGTACATATATACATACATACATAATATATACATACATACATACATACATACATACATACATACATACATTCATACATACATACATACATACATACATACATACATACATACATACATACATACATACATACATACATACATACATACATACATACATACATACACACATACGAGGGGCGTTAAATAAGTTTTGTAACTTCAATATAAGACCAAGTCGCAGAATATCTTTTGCACTTTTATTTTTCAATATAATCTCCATTCACCTCAATACACTTATTCCGTTTATCCTTCAAGATTTTAATACCACTTTTATAGAAATCCACAGATTGGCCCTCTAACCACGCCTCTGTGGCAGCCTTTATGTCCTCGTCATCCTGGAAGCATCTTCCACGTAGGGCAGATTTCATTTGCTGGAACAGGAAATAGTCACTGGGGGCTAAGTCTGGGCTGTAGGGTGTGTGATTTAACTGTTCGAATCGACATCCACATAATTCACATATGGATTTCTTTTGCTTTGCATCCCTCCTTGGTAAGGAACTTTATTACAGCGCGTTGTTCATGTTTGAGAGAATCCATGATTGTGACCACCCTTAGGTGAATGAAGCCATAACATCTAACTAAGTGTTGTGTCTGGAACTTGTTATGACACCTGTCAACCTGATGTTATGTCTAGTGTCACACCTGCCACAAGTTGACATTGTTTGTGTATACACAAATGCCCAAGTTGCAAAACTTATTGAGTGAGTGAGTTGGGTTTAACGCCGCTTTTAACATTATTCCAGTTATATCACGGCGTGTCAGCTTAGTGTGGGAGGAAAGCCGGAAGTGATGCAGGTCTAAGACGTTAACCACTTCGGTGAAACCCACGAGCACGGGTATGGTGCTGACAAACCTAGAAACATAATTGGGGCGAACCGGGATTCGAACCCACAATCATAGGTTTCTGGCGTGCCCAAGGGACGCAACTCTGCACAGCGAATCGCGGCGCCCTAGACGACTGGGCCACCCGTGTCCCCACAAAACTCATTGAACGCCCCTCGAACATACATTGTATTCTGATGTATTCAAATCTATCTGAATTTGTGTGTGAAACATGCCAGCACTAGTGTAGATAACATGCTGAATGAGAGTTAATACATCTATTAGGCGATCATAGTATCAGCTACTGTATTTTCGCAAACCTCCGAATCCCCCAAGACGTCCGAATCTTCAAAGTCATCTGTGTCCAAGTCCTCAACCGAGTCCTGACACCCCTGAAATCCTGAAAAGCCATCCGTATTCGAGTCATCGTATCAAAGTCCTCAAAGTCCTCCGTATGCGATTTCTCCGTATCCGAATCCTCCGTATCCGGAACTTCCCTATCAAAGTCCTTCAAGTTTGTCCAAGTCCTCCGTAACCCAGTCCTCCAAATACTCCGTATCCAAGTACTCCGTATCCAAGTACTCCGTATCCAAGTACTCCGTATCCCAGTCCTCCAAGTACTCCGTATCCAAGTACTCCGTATCCCAGTCCTCCGAATACTCCGTGTCCATGTACTCCGTATCCCAGTCCTCAAATCCTCCATGTCCTTAGTTACCAAGTCCTCCTTATCCAAGATCTCCTTTTCCAAATCCTCCGTAACGAAGTCCTCAGTATCGTAGTCCTCTAAGTCCTCCGTATCCGAGTCCTCAGTATCCGAGTCAAAATGCAAGGCAAGGCTATATGAGTTACCACTAGGCTACCCCTACATGTGACGAGCAGGAAGATGAGAGACGGTCAGAGGGTCAAATGTGTTTGGAATGAGGATGCAAAGGATTCTTTTCCATTGCAGTTTGCTTTTTTAATTCCAAAAATAGCATATACTATTATAATGTTGATACGATAGAAGTTATGTATTCTTAAGCTTTGACAAGAGGCTATGGAACACGCCTAGATAACGTTTGTTGTAAGCATCAAGGAAACATAAGCTCCTTACACCACCCACCAAGTTAAAATGCTCCTATGGGGTCCAATATCAGTCCAATATGCCGTGATACTTGTCAGTTAAAATACTATTCTGTACTTCCATCTGGTTTGATCATTCTTGTGACTTTCGTTGGCCCGTGTTCTATATGATGTAAACATGGGCAATATCTGATATGATGATTATGATAACTCTGTGTTTGGAATGAGGATGTAAAAGATGCCGTTCAATAGCAGTTTGCTTTTTAAATTCCAATGATTATAATATTATAATGTTGATGTAATAGTGGTCGTGTATTGTTAAGCTGTGCAACACACCACGATGACGGTTGTTGTAAGCATCAAGGGAAATATAAGACCTGTATACCACCCAGTACCCACTGTCATCATCTCCCCCCCCCCCCCCCCCCCCCCCCCCCCCCCCCCCCACTTTCTTATGTGCCAAATGATTTGCGGCCATGTGGGTTTACTGAGTCACCAGCACGTTGCAAAAGATCATATGCGTCTAAGCTGTTGTGGTTTTATCCGTAGTGTCCATTTTGCTGTGACATTTGTTGTCAGTTAATATGCTGTTGTTTGGTTTCGTTTCAAGCGTCCAATTCGCTTTGACACTTGTTATCAGTTAAAATGCTCTCAAAGAACTTTTTTAACTAGTCCAATTTGCTGTAACACTGTTTATCAAATAAAATACAGTTATCGGCTTTTATAAACGTGTCATTCCTTTTGGCATAAGCTTGCTTCAACAGAAGTGTATCATAAACCGTCCCAAATACTTTACAAATACATGTACACTATTCATAAAGAAGTGTGCCTCATACTAAGTACTGCAAGTACATGAATAATCAACCTTCATTTGAGAAATAGATATTGCTCTCAAAATCAATATTTCACTCTATATTAAAATTCAGAACTACTAATCATATATTACCCGTTAAAACTGGTCGATGGCGGAACATTCCCAGGGAAGACCATCCACTCTTCCAAATTTGACGCATCAGTGACACAAATGATGTCCAATGGAATTCCCTATTTTTACCTGTACCATATGTTCCTGTGCTTTTTCAGGTGAACAATTGACCTGCCTTTGCATGTGTTTGTGACAGGTGTCATTAATATTTGATGGTGATTCATAAACACATGCTCATGACAGTCACAACCGTACAATCGACTCAGCTTTGTGCAGAGATTTCTATTTGATAAAGAAAGGCTTTTGTCGCTTCATTTCATCATAAATATATCGATGGGACTCTTTTCTCCAAAAGCGATACTCTAAAATAAACAATATCTTATGTTTTCAAACCTGTCTTAAGAAACCTTTGACCACTAACAGTGTAAGAGATCTGAAAGGCCTATCTAAATTCCTTCAACATGTGTATATTACAATTTGTAAATTGTAGTAGAAACAACGTATTCCAATTCTATTATTCTTGTTAACTGCTGTAATTTTGTACAGATTAAAAATTGTATATAATTGTATCTCATGTTCTGAGAATAAATGCTCTTGTGGGGTATTATCCCAAGTGTCCAACTTACAGTGACACTTTTTATAAGTTACAATGCTCTCATTGGATTTAATCCTAAGCGTCCAATTTGCAGTGGCACTTGTTAGAAGTAAAACTGTGGCTATGAGGTTTTATCCCAAACGTCCAATTTGCAATGACACTTGTTATAAATCAAAATGTTCTGATCAGGTATTATCCCAAGTTTCCAATTAGCTGTGATAACTATTTTCAGTGAAAATGCTGTAATAGAGTTTCATCTGCTTCCATCATTGTTGTGAATTTCGTTGGCTCGTGTTTTATATGATATTAAGGTGGGAAATAGCACATATGATTATGATGACATGATGCATTGTCTGGTCAAGGCTCGATTATTTATAGGTTTGTCGTCGTATAGCAGGAACATTGCAGGAACACTGCACAGCACCAACATAAAAAAAAAAAAAAATATGATTCTTGGAACCTCTCTGCACCTTATTGTACGTAATGGAAGTTTTAAGGAAGAACTAGAAGGTTTCATGTTGCATGCGCGCTTTATTCAAGGTCGACGTCATCACAGTTCATACATTCAGAAGGCTATATATACAAACGTGTCTGGTGGTGCACGTTCATCGTCTTTATCAACATCGTCAGGTTGTTAGATTAATAATGTCCTGAAAAGAAAGAAAAGATTGGTAAAGTATGACAATCAGTTATTTAACTGCTTCGGGATTGTGTCTGCACCTGCAACTCTAACAGACGATCTGTTGGACCACGTCTGGAGCAGCAACGTTCAAAGGGAGAATAACCTGACTTACATGTTAAAATATGTTCTTTTCTGTGCGATCAATGGGATTGTTTGGACAGAACATGCTCCATGTAACAGTTATATTGTAGTCATCTGAAGTGGCCATGAAGATGTATCTGCATTGTGGTGTAAGACATACTTGTACATGTACAGTGTAAGCATAACTTGGAAATTCAGTAAATTCATCAAGGCGACTAAAGTGCCACCTACCATATTTTCCAAAACCTCCGATTCCTCCAAACCCTCCGAGTCCTCCGTATCCAAGACCTCCGTATCCAAGTCCTCCGTATCCTCCAATTCCTCCAAATCCTCCAAGTCCTCCGTATCCTCCAAGTCCTCCGTATCCTCCAAGTCCTCCGAATCCTCCAAGTCCTCCGTATCCAAGTCCTCCGTATCCTCCAAGTCCTCCAAATCCTCCAAGTCCGAGGCCTAATCCGTATCCTCCAAGTCCACCATATCCCAATCCTCCTCCTAATCCTCCAAATCCACCGTAAAGACCCTTACTGTAGCCAATAGGCTCGGCGACAGCGGCCGCCACCAGGCATGCTACCAAGACAATGACGGAGTTCATGGTGCTGGCTTGCTGGAAAATAATTGGTATCATTGATATTAACTATTTAAAAAAAGCGTGCTAATTCATACGATTCTGAAATTAACGTAAATTGTAAATACATTCCGTTTTAATGAAGCACACGTAGAACTTTACATATTCTGTTCGGATTGAGATTTCGGGTTATATTTTGCAAGATTTGGCAAAACCTAAACTTCATTTTAGAACATACAAGTAGTGGTGAACCGTTCCTGTGTGTTAGGTAGGCAGAATTTACGTTTCAAGGTTTTACATTATCGAAATAACTTTCTAACTTTCAAACTAACATCTTGGTTTCTTGGGTTGATGCCCTACTAGCATGACCATTCTGCCTTTTACGCCATATGGAAAATGTTTCGCCAGATTATCGAGGTTGGTTATTCTCTATTGTTGACGTTTTAAATTGTAAATAGGATTATATCACCAATGCATAGAATATGAATATTTAGATAGTTTAAGATGAAACTGAACGCATCTATCACAGTTTCCCTTGATTTGTGATATAAGTTCATTTATAAATAAAGGCAGAATAGAAACAGATCCAGAAAACACCATTGGCACAGTCCAGCATGGCAAGTGAATACATCAGTCTTCATTCAAGGTCAATTAGAATAGAGTACACTACGGTTATAACGAACACGCTTATAACGAGCTGACGTATATAACGAAGTTACTTTTTTGGTCCCGACTAATTGCTGTAGTTATGCTGTATATATGCTTATAACGAACTACGGTTATAACGAACTAGAAGTAGTAGTCCCTTTGAGCTCGTTATAACCGTACTTTACTGTAGAGAGATCATGAGTGGCTGAGTTGTGTTCAACGCGACTTGAACGAAGACAGACACACATATATCTTATATTCGTCTGACTGCTGTACATCATAAAATAACATGCATAAATTAGACGTTTATACATACAAATAATAATACATACCATTTATATAAAGTTATGAGAGACGATAGACAAAACAGGATGATTTATACAGATAAAAATGTTTTACCCATATAGAAATAGCTTTTTGCGTTGTAATATTAAAAAGCAGGTGTTGGCAGTGACATATTCCTCATGTTTAAACCATGACTCATTGTTTGACCCGTTTACAGAGTTGGACATTTTAGCCGTTATACTTGTAGTGAGTGAGTGAGTTGGGTTTAACACCGCTTTTAATAGTATTCCAGTCACGTTATACTTGTAAATAATGTAGATCTTAGATCATCGTATAGTGGACATTGGAATAAAACATGTATTTCATCTTCAATATGATCATTACAGTTAATGCACACTCTGTCTTAAACCTTTAAATTAATATCAAATCCAGCTAGCATAAAGCAAAATTTGCAACCCAAATATCAGACCAAGGAACCTCGGTTAACTCTCACGTCTAACAGTTGTTTATTTAGCATGGTTTCACTCACAATCACGTTGTGTTTTTGAGAACTAAAAGAGTGAGTGAGTATGGTTTGAAGCCGCTTGTAGCAATATTCCAGCAATATCACGGCGGGGAACAGCAGAAATGAGCTTCTCACATTGTACCCATGTCGGGAATCGAAAGGAACTAAAAGAAAAAAGTGCAAATGAATAAGCAAATGACATGTCAGAATGTTAGGACGCGCACTTACCTACGACTGTAGATGGGTCGACGAAGAATGACTTGATATCGAAGTGGAAAGATACAACTCTGCCAGGGTAATATATACACGTGCAGTTATCACGTGACATGCATGTCACCATGCTGCGTGTAAAACCACTCCTTGTTTCTAATTTCCTGGAGCACACCTTTCGTCATTCTTCCTAACCTACGGCAACATTTATCATACACACCTAATCGATCTTGGCGGTCAAACCCACGTCATACTTGACCATGCAAGTATGTAACATTATCTATCAAAATTAGTGACACACTGTCGGTTTTATATAGTTTCCAAACAAGTTTTCTAACTATAAAGGTTAAAATATAATCTCCTTCAATTAATTAATCAAGCAATAATTGCTACGTGGAGTTGCTTCAGCTGACCTATTATTCAATTAACTATTTAGATCCTATCGCAGGCAATGGGGAAGTTTGGATGTGATTGACCAGTGAGTGAATCTGATAATATTTACGGCTTCTGTACAATTCCGCAATATATCAACGAGAAGAAATAATAAACATTCATAAAAATCATGATCTTGCTTTCAATTTAAAAGAAACTAAATGGAAAGGGTTCGACCATTTCTTTTACTGTTGGATTACTTTGAACGTATTTGTGATTGAAATATTACGTTACATTGAACGTGTTTGTGTGTTGAAATGATATTTTACTTTGAATGTCTGTGTGTGTTGAAATGATGTTTTACTTTGAACGTGTTTGTGTGTTGAAATGTTTTACATTGAATGTCTGTGTGTATTGAAATGTTGTTCTTCTTTGAAAGTGTTTGTGTATTGAATTGTTGTTTTACTTTGAACGTGTTTGTTCATTGAAATATTGTTTTACTTTGAACGTGTTTGTGTATTGAAATGTTGTTTTACTTTGAACGTTTTTGTGTATTGAAATGTTGTTCTTCTTTGAAAGTGCTTGTGTATTGAATGGTTGGTTTCCTCTGAACGTGTTTGTGTCTTAAAATGTTCTTTTACTTTGAACGTGTTTGTGTGTTGAAATGTTGTTTTGCTTTGAACGTATTCGTGTCTTTAAATGTTGTTTTACTTTTAATGTGTTTGTGTGCTGAACTGTTTTACGTTGAACGTGTTTGAAATGTAGCTTTACTTCTGAACGTCTGTGTGTGTTAAATTCTTGTATTTTGAAAGCGTTTGTGTGTTGACATGTTTTACTTTGACACCTTTTTGTGCTTGAACTATTGTATGACATTGAACGTGTTTGTGTGTTGAAATGATTTGCACTTTGAACATGTTTATATGTTGAAATGTTGTTTTACTTTTAATGTGTTTGTGTGCTGAACTGTTTTACGTTGAACGTGTTTTAGGATTGAAATGTAAATTTACTTTGAACGTCTGTGTCTGTTAAATCCTTGTATTTTGAAATCGTTTTTTTGCGTAGACATGTTTTACTTTGACGCCTTTTCGTGCTTGAAATATTGTATGACATTGAACGTGTTTGTGTGTTGAAAGGTTTTTGTACTTTGAACATGTTTGTGCCTTGAAATGTTTTACCTTAATGTGTTTGTGTGCTGAACCTTTTTTTACACTTTGAACGCGTGTTGACATTTGTTTTACTTTGAAGGTCTGTGTGTGTTGAAATTTTGGTTTAATTGATTTGTTGATGTATTGAAATCTTGTTTTGATTTTAACACGTTTATGTGCTGAAATGTTGTTATACTTTGATCGCGTTTGTGTGTTGAAATATTGTATTACATTGAAAGTGTTTGTGTATTGAAATGTTCTTTTACTGAATGTTCTTTTTAGCATGATGAAGACGTTTTATGTACAAGACATTCATAGATATATAACATGATGGACAGGAGCTAAACTCTCTCACTCTCACTATAAACTAAATGATTTGCCACTGGGGAGGGAAGTGTTTTAACTGATGGCCCAAAGGGAACTTGTCAACTTGCATATTTTGGCGCGTGTAGCGAAGCCTTAGGGCTTTAAGGTTAATGAGGACATATGAGCTTTGGTTACTAGGTATCAACATGTACCAAAATGAAGCCAGTTAACCCTCTGGTTGCCGAGTCAGTTGTATTTTGTTACGCACATTTTCAAAAGCTCAGTGCTCGCGGCATTGGGATCTCAGGCCCACGCGACAAACGCCAATGACGATTACATTAAAAATACCCGCAATCTGCCAAATCTGATAGTTTGAAGATTTAATATACTGATAATATTCTGCTTCACGTCATGCCGACACTTATATATATTATGACGCTCATCTCCGGGTTCAGTGTTTATTGATTAAGGGTAAGACAATATATCTGGGAACTGTATTGGAACCATAAATTGTTTGTATTGCTCGGTTCCCGCCTGTATAAAGAACCACACTCCGGTTACTCGCCAGCAGCACCCGTCCTTACACTGACCCTTTTCCCGATCTGAACCCGTGCGCTTGCCGTTGTGACTACGGTAGAGCAGTTGTCATGCTTGTGAATACCTAGTATTTGTTATCATCATTTGAGCTGTTCAACTGGTGTCATCAAAGTCGTTCGTACATACATATATACGTACATATATACATACATACATAATATATACATAAATACATACATACATACATACATACATACATACATACATACATACATACATACATACATACATACATACATACATACATACATACATACATACATACATACATACATACATACATACATACATACATACGAGGGGCGTTAAATAAGTTTTGTAACTTCAATATAAGACCAAGTCGCAGAATATCTTTTGCCCTATTATTTTTCAATATAATCTCCATTCACCTCAATACACTCATTCCGTTTATCCTTCAAGATTTTAATACCACTTTTATAGAAATCCACAGATTGGCCCTCTAACCACGCCTCTGTGGCAGCCTTTATGTCCTCGTCATCCTGGAAGCGTCTTCCACGTAGGGCAGATTTCATTTGCTGGAACAGGAAATAGTCACTGGGGGCTAAGTCTGGGCTGTAGGGTGTGTGATTTAACTGTTCGAATCGACATCCACATAATTCACATATGGATTTCTTTTGCTTTGCATCCCTCCTTGGTAAGGAACTTTATTACAGCGCGTTGTTCATGTTTGAGAGAATCCATGATTGTGACCACCCTAAGGTGAATGAAGCCATCACATCTAACTTAGTGTTGTGTCTGGAACTTGTTATGACACCTGTCAACCTGATGTTATGTCTAGTGTCACACCTGCCACAAGTTGACATTGTTTGTGTATACACAAATGCCCAAGTTGCAAAACTTATTGAGTGAGTGAGTTGGGTTTAACGCCGCTTTTAACATTATTCCAGTTATATCACGGCGTGTCAGCTTAGTGTGGGAGGAAAGCCGGAAGTGATGCAGGTCTAAGACGTTAACCACTTCGGTGAAACCCACGAGCACGGGTATGGTGCTGACAAACCTAGAAACATAATTGGGGCGAACCGGGATTCGAACCCACAATCATAGGTTTCTGGCGTGCCCAAGGGACGCAACTCTGCACAGCGAATCGCGGCGCCCTAGACGACTGGGCCACCCGTGTCCCCACAAAACTCATTGAACGCCCCTCGAACATACATTGTATTCTGATGTATTCAAATCTATCTGAATTTGTGTGTGAAACATGCCAGCACTAGTGTAGATAACATGCTGAATGAGAGTTAATACATCTATAAGGCGATCATAGTATCAGCTACTGTATTTTCTGAAACCTCCGAATCCCCCAAGACGTCCGAATCTTCAAAGTCATCTGTGTCCAAGTCCTCAACCGAGTCCTGACACCCCTGAAATCCTGAAAAGCCATCCGTATTCGAGTCATCGTATCAAAGTCCTCAAAGTCCTCCGTATGCGATTTCTCCGTATCCGAATCCTCCGTATCCGGAACTTCCCTATCAAAGTCCTTCAAGTTTGTCCAAGTCCTCCGTAACCCAGTCCTCCAAATACTCCGTATCCAAGTACTCCGTATCCAAGTACTCCGTATCCCAGTCCTCCAAGTACTCCGTATCAAAGTACTCCGTATCCCAGTCCTCCGAATACTCCGTGTCCATGTACTCCGTATCCAAATCCTCAAATCCTCCATGTCCTTAGTTACCAAGTCCTCCTTATCCAAGATCTCCTTTTCCAAATCCTCCGTAACGAAGTCCTCAGTATCGTAGTCCTCTAAGTCCTCCGTATCCGAGTCCTCAGTATCCGAGTCAAAATGCAAGAACTCTGGAGTACGAACATATCATCATTCTCAACACTTTCCCGTGTCTTGTTTCTTTGATACCCTGTCAATAATCTGTTTTGAAACAGTTGACGCATGCGCCAATGATGAGTGAGTAAGTATGGTTTTACGCTGTTTTCTGCAAAATCACGACGAGAAATTTTAGCCATGTGTGGGCCTACGGCTATATGAGTTACCACTAGGCTACCCCTACATGTGACGAGCAGGAAGATGAGAGACGGTCAGAGGGTCAAATGTGTTTGGAATGAGGATGCAAAGGATTCTTTTCCATTGCAGTTTGCTTTTTTAATTCCAAAAATAGCATATACTATTATAATGTTGATACGATAGAAGTTATGTATTCTTAAGCTTTGACAAGAGGCTATGGAACACGCCTAGATAACGTTTGTTGTAAGCATCAAGGAAACATAAGCTCCTTACACCACCCACCAAGTTAAAATGCTCCTATGGGGTCCAATATCAGTCCAATATGCCGTGATACTTGTCAGTTAAAATACTATTCTGTACTTCCATCTGGTTTGATCATTCTTGTGACTTTCGTTGGCCCGTGTTCTATATGATGTAAACATGGGCAATATCTGATATGATGATTATGATAACTCTGTGTTTGGAATGAGGATGTAAAAGATGCCGTTCTATAGCAGTTTGCTTTTTAAATTCCAATGATTATAATATTATAATGTTGATGTAATAGTGGTCGTGTATTGTTAAGCTGTGCAACACACCACGATGACGGTTGTTGTAAGCATCAAGGGAAATATAAGACCTGTATACCACCCAGTACCCACTGTCATCATCTCCCCCCCCCCCCCCCCCCTCCCCCCCCCCCCCCCCCCCCACTTTCTTATGTGCCAAATGATTTGCGGCCATGTGGGTTTACTGAGTCACCAGCACGTTGCAAAAGATCATATGCGTCTAAGCTGTTGTGGTTTTATCCGTAGTGTCCATTTTGCTGTGACATTTGTTGTCAGTTAATATGCTGTTGTTTGGTTTCGTTTCAAGCGTCCAATTCGCTTTGACACTTGTTATCAGTTAAAATGCTCTCAAAGAACTTTTTTAACTAGTCCAATTTGCTGTAACACTGTTTATCAAATAAAATACAGTTATCGGCTTTTATAAACGTGTCATTCCTTTTGGCATAAGCTTGCTTCAACAGAAGTGTATCATAAACCGTCCCAAATACTTTACAAATACATGTACACTATTCATAAAGAAGTGTGCCTCATACTAAGTACTGCAAGTACATGAATAATCAACCTTCATTTGAGAAATAGATATTGCTCTCAAAATCAATATTTCTCTCTATATTAAAATTCAGAACTACTAATCATATATTACCCGTTAAAACTGGTCGATGGCTGAACATTCCCAGGGAAGACCATCCACATTTCCAAATTTGATGCATCAGTGACAAAAATGATGTCCGATGCAATTCCCTATTTTTACCTGTACCATATGTTCCCGTGCCTTTTCAGGTGAACAATTGACTTGCCTTTGCATGTGTCTGTGATGGGTGCCATCACTATTTGATGGTAATTCATAAACGCATGCTCATGACAGTCAGAATCGTACAATCGACTCAGCTTTGTGCAGAGATTTCTATTTGATAAAGAAAGGGTTTTGTCGCTTCATTTCATTATAAATAAATCGATGGGACGCTTTTCTCCAAAAGCGATACTCTAAAATAAACAATATTTTATGTTTCCAAACCTGTCTCAATTTAAGAAACCTTTGACCATTAACAGTGTAAGAGATCTGAAAGGCCTATCTAAATTCCTTCAATATTAGTATATTACAATTTGTAAATTGTAGTAGAAACAACGTATTCCAATTCTATGATTCTTGTTAACTGCTGTAATTTTGTACAGATTAAAAATTGTATATAATTGTATCTCATGTTCTGAGAATAAATGCTCTTGTTGAATATTATCCCAAGTGTCCAACTTACAGTGACACTTTTTATAAGTTACAATGCTCTGATGGAATTTTATCCCAAGCGTCCAATTTGCAGTGGCACTTGTTATAAGTAAAACTGTGGCTATGAGGTTTTATCCGAAGCCTCCTATTTGCAATGACACTTGTTATAAATCAAAATGTTCTGATCAGGTATTATCCCAAGTTTCAAATAAGCTGTTATAACTATTTTCAGTGAAAATGCTGTAATAGAGTTTCATCTGCTTCCATCATTGTTGTGAATTTCGTTGGCTCGTGTTTTATATATTAAGGTGGGAAATAGCAGATATGATGATGATGATGATGATGATGATGATGATGATGATATGATGCATTGTCTGGCCAAGGCTCGATTATTTATAGGTTTGCCGTCGTATAGCAGGAACATTGCAAGAACACTGGACAGCACCCACACCAACAAACATATAATTCTTGGAGGCGAGGTGAAATGGGGTTTAACGCCGCGTCAAAGATTATTGTACTTATATAGCGACCTGCATGCACGTGTGTGTGTGTGTGTGTGTGTGTGGCTGCTTGTACTAGTCCGGACTGATGCCGATTTATAGTGCTAGCTCACTGAGATACCATGCCGCAGTTTAACATGAATACCCCACTCAGACACAGTATACGGAGGGCCAGGCAGGGTAACAAGGGTAACAACAAGTACCATCTTTTAACTTCTTTTGGTATGACAGGGATCGAACCCCGGACCTTCCGCTCTCCGGGCGGACGCTCTACCACTAGACCACGGAGGCGGTCTTTAATTCTTGGAACCTCTCTGCACCTTATTGTAGGTAATGGAAGTTTTAAGGAAGAACTAGAAGGTTTCATGTTGCATGCGCGCTTTATTCAAGGTCGACGTCTCACAGTTCATACATTCAGAAGGCTATATATACAAACGTGTCTGGTGGTGCACGTTCATCGTCTTTATCAACATCGTCAGGTTGTTAGATTAATAATGTCCTGAAAAGAAAGAAAAGATTGGTAAAATATGTGTCAATCAGCTATTGTGTCTGCACCTGCAACTCTGACAGACGATCTGTTGGACCACGTCTGGAGCAGCAACGTTCAAAGGGAGAATAACCTGACTTACATGTTAAAATATGTTCTTTTCTGTGCGATCAATGGGATTGTTTGGACAGAACATACTCCATGTAACAGTTATATTGTAGTCATTTGAAGATGTATCTGCATTGTGGTGTAAGACATACTGGTACATGTACAGTGTAAGCATAATTTGGAAATTCAGTAAATTCATCAGTGCCACCTACTATATTTTCCAAAACCTCCGATTCCTCCAAACCCTCCGAGTCCTCCAAGACCTCCGTATCCAAGTCCTCCGTATCCTCCAATTCCTCCGAATCCTCCAAGTCCTCCGTATCCTAGTCCTCCAAGTCCTCCAAGTCCTCCGAATCCTCCGTATCCTCCGAATCCTCCGTATCCTCCAAGTCCACCGTATCCTCCAAGTCCTCCGAATCCTCCGTATCCTCCAAGTCCTCCAAGTCCTCCAAGGCCTAATCCGTATCCTCCAAATCCACCATATCCCAATCCTCCTCCTAATCCTCCAAATCCACCGTAAAGACCCTTACTGTAGCCAATAGGCTCGGCGACAGCGGCCGCCACCAGGCATGCTACCAAGATAATGACGGAGTTCATGGTGCTGGCTTGCTGGAAAATAATTGGAATCATTGATTTAATTTTATTAACAAGGCGAGCTTTTTCGACAAGAATGTGACATTTAGGTAAATATGAAATAATTTCCGCGTTTATTTAACACTCATATAACTTACATATTGTGTTAGTTTTGAGAATCGAACCCGGGCATTAGAATTCGGGTGAGTATATCAAGCCGAAGATATATAACTGCTATCAATATAGTTGATCAGAAACACACGTTTACGCTATCGTCGGAATCATACAATGAACCCCACCTCTGACAGAGGTGTATCATGGCAATGGAAAGGGTTCTGTCGTTTACATTATACAGTCGACACTGAAATATACGCGGTCGTCTCAGTGTATTTGGGCGCTCGGGTAGCCTAGTGGTTAAAGCGTTCGCTCGTCACGCCGAAGACCCGGGTTCGATTCCCGAGATGGGTACAATGTGTGAAGTCCATTTCTGGTGTCCCCCGCCATGATATTGCTGGAATATTGCTAAAAGCGGCGTAAAACCATACTCACTCACTCACTCACTCACTCACACACTCCATGTATGTACGCCAAGACATACTGTACTGGCATTGTCATGTAGTTCAGTGGCTCTATACTGATGTTTTATCATTACAAACTCCAAGAAAATCAAGGCTTATGGCTCAAATAAGGAAAAATAAATTGATTCTAAATAATATCTTGGTTTCCGGTGTTGATTCTATTGCAGCATGACAATTCCAAGGTATTTGTAATAAAAAGATTTTGTATAGAAACATTTAAACAGAGAATACAATCATCACAATAAGATTATTACTCTGTATGGTAAATTAAGTTTTGTCAACCTGCTTGTATTTGTACAGGAAATGGCTACCATTTTCGAGAACACCTGGATTCGTGACTCTTTTTTCGTGATCAATTCATATAATGTTAACAGCTATTCTCGCTTTTACGCCCAATGGAATCTAATTCGGGTCGAAAATCGAGGAGGGTTATCTCTGGCGTTGACGTTTTATATAGAGCATAAATAATTTTAATATTAAACAGTTTAAGGTGAAACTAAACATCTGTCACAGTTACTCTTGATTTGTTATTTTAGTTCATTTTGAATACAAACAACAGAAATGGATTCAGAATCAACCTTGGCGCACACCAGCATGATAAATGAATATGTCAGATAAGACGCCTGTATTCCATAGCTAGCAACACATTTGCATATATTTTCCAAACATTTTTCCGTCTTGACACTTGAACCTTGTAAATGAGATAAAAAAAATGAATAGATTGTAAAAAAACGCAGGCCTTATTTGTCACAAGCAATCAAACGATAGGTTTACGTTAACCAGTGCGCTATCACGTCAGCATCTTCATCCGATGTCAGTTACAACAGAGAGATCATGACTGGCTGAGTTGTGTTCTTTGAACTTTGAACTTTGGACCCTATTTCAGTTACATCAAGGCGTTTTAGTTTGATGTGGGAGTAAAGCCACAGGTTTGTTTTGTTTGTTTGCTTGTTTGTTGTTTTACGCCGCACTCAGCAATATTCCAGCTATATGACGGCGGTCTGTAAATAATCGAGTCTGGACCAGACAACCCAGTGATTAATATCATGAGCATCGATCAACGCATTTGGGATTCGATGACATGCATCAACCAAGTCAGCGAGCCTGACCACCCGATCCCGTTAGTCGCCTTTTACGACAAGCATAGTCGCCTTTTACCGCAAGCATTGGTTGCTGAAGATCTATTCTACCCTGGACCTCACTATCACAATAGGAATTAGGTGTTCGCGAAGAGGTGGAAAACATATCGAATAGCACGTCACAGTAACAAGTAGGCGATCATATGATACAAGCCCAAATAGGGAATAGAATCAGACATAATTTGGTCACTGAAGCGTTAAATTTGGAAATGTCCTCTACATGGATACCATAAGACATTTCGAACGTTTCAACTGAGGCATTGAATGCTTGAATACACGTTATGTGTTTGACGCCTAAAATTGAAAGTAGTAAATTAATAAACAAATAGCATGTAAAAATGTAAAGGGGTTCACTCACCTGAGTCTGTAGATGGGTCGACGAAGAATGTCTTGAGTTGAATGTAGAAAGATACAGCTGTGGCAGGGTAATATATACACATGTAGTAGTCACGTGACAAACACGTGATCAGGGTGTGAACACCACTCCTGTGTGTTCAATTTCCTGGAGCCATCGTTCATCATTCGTCCTGACCCACGGCAATATTTAGCATACATCACTCATCGATCTGTAACATGAAATGCAATGAGGTACATTTGACCATTCTAGTATGTAGCCATACTATCCAAAACTGTGATACACTGTAGGTTTTATATAGTCTTCCGCGTTTTTCTAACTATATCATATGGCGTGGCTTCAACTGACCTATCACGAAAAATACGTCATCCATACACTGGGGAAGTGGGTGTGATGGATGAGTGTGTGAGTTGATATTTAAGATGGCCTCAGCAATTTTGCGACGAGATCAAATTTAACATTCATACATTCATACATTATACATAGTATCCTTTTTTCCAAGAGAAATTATTATTTTTAAACCAACTATTAGCTCTTTGGCGATATGGGTTATATTATGTTATAATTAAATCAATCATCTACACAATACGAGCGAAACGTGAAGATCCGGGTTAGAATAGGTCTTCAGCAACCCATGCTTGCGGTAAAAGGCGACTATGCTTGTCGACTAACGGGATCGGGTGGTCAGATTCGCTGACTTGGTTGACGCATGTCATCGTATCCCAATTGCGTTGATCGATGCTCATGATATCAATCACTGGATATCTGGTCCAGACGCGATTATTTACAGATGGACGTCATATAGCTTGATTCTTGCTGGGTGCGGCGTTAAACAACAAACAAACAAACAGACAAGCAACAAAATACATGCCCATATTGATAGCTAGGCGAGTCTCCCATAAGCGTTTTCACGAGGCCATACTTAATACTAGCAAACAGACAGACAGAACACTTATGTGAATCTCACTACATGTAAAAGAACATTAAAATACAATAGTATCATATTATTATTCTTGACCACTCTTTAAGAGTAATGAGTGAGTGAGTTTGGTTTCACGCCGCTTTTAACATTATTCCAGGTATATCACGGCGTGTCAGCGTAATGTGGGAGGAAAGCCCGAAGTGATGCAGGTCTCAGACGTTTACCACTTCGGTGAAACCCACGAGCACGGGTATGGTGGTGACAAACCTCGAAACATTATCAATGCGAACCTGGATTCGAACCCATGATCATAGGATTCTGGCGTACTCAGGGGATGCCACCCTGCACAGCAAATTGCGACGCCTTAGATGCCTGGGCCACCCGTGCTCCGTACATATTCTAAGGGGTATATACACCCCATGAAATAGATAATGTGCTGGGTAATATGAAGTCATTCTGTGACTGGCCGGTGACACGGGTGGCCCAGTCGTCTAGGGCGCCGCGATTCGCTGTGCAGAGTTGCGTCCCTTGGGCACGCCAGAAACCTATGATTGTGGGTTCGAATCCCGGTTCGAACCGATTATGTTTCCAAGTTTGTCAGCACCATACGCGTGCTCGTTGGTTTCACCGAAGTGGTAAACGTCTGAGACCTGCATCACTTCGGGCTTTCCTCCAACATTAAGCTGACACGCCGCGATATAACTGGAATACTGTTAAAAGCGGAGTTAAACCCAACTCACTCACTCACTCACTCACTCACTCACTCACTGTGACTAGCCAACTGAGGACGTGAATGAGGGGATAGAGAAGGGGGCTTGTTATTTGCCGACAAACGGAGTCTGGAGGTCTGTGGTATAGCTCCAGCTTATATGTATGTATATGTATGTTTCAGAACAGGGATAGTGAATGACGAAAATAAACTGAGACATGATCAGCATTCCAACTAAATCCATTCTTACCCAGCTAAATAAAGCCATTATTATTTGAGAGTTTATTATATATGTGCATCCTTGATGTTGATACCATACATATATTAATGCCGTGTTCACTTTGTTGACCTGGACTGTTTCTAGCCCATGTACATTATCAGAAACTGCTTCTGACCAGGCATTTCAGATTCGTAAGGGTTCTTTTGATTTCCGTGCGTGCGTGAACAATACTGAAAATAAACCCTGTTGAATAAGGTCAATCGAAATTTTAAAAAATCAGAGGCGTTTTGTTTGTTGTATAACACCTTACCCAGCAAAATTCCAGCTATATGACGGCGGTCTGTAAATAATCGAGTCTCGACCAGATATCCAGTGATTGATATCATGAGCATCGATCCCCGCAATTGGGACACGATGACATGCGTCAACCAAGTCAGCGAACCTGACCACCCTATCCCGTTAGTCGACAAGCATAGTCGCCTTTTACGGCAAGCATGGGTTGCTGAAGACCTTGTTTAACCAGATCTTCACGGTTCCAAAATCAAGGGCGATGACTTTAATAAGGTGAGGTGAGGTGAAATGGGGTTTAACGTCGCGTCCAAGATCATTGCACTTATATAGCGACGTGCATGCACGTGTGTGTGTGTGTGTGTGTGTGGCTGCTTGTACTAGTCCGGCCTGATGCCTATTTATAGTGCTAGCTCACTGAGATAACATGCCGCAGTTTAACATGCATACCCCACTCAGACACAGTATACTGACTCCGAGCCGACCAGTCCTTGTTTTAGCCCCTTAATGCCGAGCGCCAGACAGGATAACAATAAGTACCATCTTTTAACGCGGCTGGGGATCGAACCCCGGACCTTCCGCTCTCCGGGCGGACGCTCTTCCATTAGACCACGGAGGCGGTCGTTTTATAATAAAGCGTCCAGGCGTCGTGACTAAGACTGACAGGGAATTAGATAAGATGTATATTTCTCGCTCAATCACTAATCATGTTGACCCCAATGCTCCCTAATTAAATAGTCTTTAGGCGTCAAGTTCATTGACCTGGAGACATACATGGACTTCCGTGGTGGGTTGTGGCCTGGGGAAAACCGGGAATTGCAGTGACGTCATATTTACGGGTTGGGAGACCCTGAGAAGTTTTTGAAACACTTTGTACCTGGAACACCAGAAACTGGTGGGGTTTGACTATAAGCTATGAAAATTACGGTGACCCATAAGGGACATTGAGTCTGTTTTTCAATATTTTGATATTTCACTTACTTTTATCGAAAACTTTTGCAAATTAAAACTATTTATCATAACAATATGTGATACATCATGTATAAAAACAACAAAAAACATTCAAGTAGCTATTGAATCGCTGAAATGTGAAGCGAAAATGTTAAAAACTAAAAAGGAAATGTCAAAAACAAAAACGAAAAGGTCAAAAACTAAAATGAAAATACAGAAAACTATTTCCACCACGGTGGGAGTATTATCACCGCGGTGGAAATAGTTTTCTGTATTTTTATTTTAGTCTTTGACCTTTTCGTTTTTGTTTTTGACATTTTCATTTTAGTTTTTGACATTTTCGCTTCACTTTTCAGCGATTCAATATCTTCTCTATACATGATTTATCACATAGTTGTATGACAAATCGTGTCAATTTGCAAAAGGTTACGATAACAGTAAGTGAAATATCAAAATATTGAAAAACGGACTCCATGTCCCTTATGGGCCACCGTAGAAAATGAATATCATTATCTCGTGGGATACACCTTGTGTAGTCATAAGCGTTTAATTATGTTTCACAACCTTAACACTATCGTTAATAACATACCTACCGATGTAAGCATAAGCTATATTTATACCGCAATGCGGGTCAGGTTGTTACATATAATAAAGCTATATTTAACGCAGTCCAATATTTTATGTGTACTAATGCAAAGTTTGCGTAAAGAACTGTTCATTCAACAATGGGGGCGCTCGCGTAGCCTAGTGGTTAAAGCGTTCGCTCGTCACGCCGATGACCCGGGTTCGATTCCCGATATGGGTACAATTTCTGGTGTCTCCCGCCATGATATTGCTGGAATACTGCTAAAAGCGGCGTAAAACCATACTCATTCAACATTGCTCTCTCTCTCTCTCTCTCTCTCTCTCTCTCTCTCTCTCTCTCTCTCTGTCTCTCTCTCTCTCTCTCTCTCTCTCTCTCTCTCTCTCTCTCTCTGTGTCTCTATCCATACCTGTAACTTATTTGAAATGCTGTAGTACTCAAAGCTTAAATTATATTTGTTGCCTGTTATTTGTTATCTACGTTGGCCTGAAGTTTTATTACCGAAATAAATGATTGATTGAGTACTTGACTTGTCCATATGTTGGTACCGCGCTCCTGTTCTAATGTTAATAGACCACAAGACCGGTGAAGATCCGGGTTAGAATAGGTCTTCAGCAACCCATGCGTGCTGTAAAATGCGATTATGCTTGTCGTAATAATATTGCTGGAATGCTGCTGAGTGCGCCGTTAAACAAAAAACAAACAAAACTTATAACAGAATTGTGTTGTTGCCAACAAATGCCATGCGTTTGTTAAGTTAAAGAAAACAATTGCCTCACCATTAATATGTACTCACCGACAAAAGACTGGGTTGTTGCATGTCATCGATGCCCACGATGTCAATCACTGGATTGTCTGGGAAAGACTCGATTTAATACAGGCCGCCGTCATATAGCTGGAATATTGCTGAGTGCGGCGTTAAACAACAAACAAACAAACAATAGGGAATCTACGTACCTCGTAAACCAATGGGGCGTTGGTGTAGCCCAGTGGTTAAAGCGGTGGCTCGTCATGCCAAGGATCCGGGTTCGATTCCCCAAATGGGTACTCACCCACTCACCCATTCACCCACTCACTTAAACCACTGATGGCACCCAGACTGTTATAACGTTCTGTCGTGTAATTAAGTTCTGTTCTGTCTGTTAGGAATATACTTATTTTACGGAGCTGCACAAGCATTTCCAACTTCCGAAAAACAGGCGTCTGCTACTTGAAAACATTTTCCCTTTATTACATAACTGAATCAATATTGTTTCGTAAGTATAAACAGTATTTCCATTGTTGTGTGATATTAGATGAAAACTGTAGCTTTGGGATTAGTCAAGTGTGGTATAGCCCAGTCTTCTAAGGCGCCGCGATTTGCTGTGCAGAGTTGCTTCCCTTAGGCATGCCAGAATCCTATGATTGTGGGTACGAATCCTGGTTCGCCACGATTATGTTTCTAGGTTTGTCAGCACCATACCCGTGCTCGTGCTCGTAGGTTTCACCGAAGTGGTAAACGTCTAAGACCTGCATCACTTCGGGCTTTCCTCCCACATTAAGCTGACACGCCGTGATATAACTGGAATACTGTTAAAATCGGCGTTAAACCCAACTCACGCACTACCTCACCCAACTTTTTTGCGATGACAGTTTTATTTGTTTGTGGACGATTACCATCTTTGAGGTTGTGAACGCTAGATTTGGAACCTTTTCCTTTTATCCTTTGAATCATATTTCACACCTTAGACATAGGTGTTCGGGAATTGATCCTGGAGACAACTTCTCCATGACACACGTTAATTCTGTTTAAAGGTACGTCGTGCTTTAGCATTTGTAATTTTAACATGATTCAACTTATGAACAATAGGGTTTCGGCGGAAATATTTTCCAGCTTTTTTCCTATTCTTTCTAGCTTGTTTGCATGTGGTATCGAACCATGGTTTTCGTATGTGTGGATTTGCAGAGGACTTTGGTATCGCTTTATCAGCAATTTCATTCAGTTGTTCCGAGAACAACTTAATAGGGTCAGGGCCATTCCTGAAAAGTCACATGTTAACTTGTCAGTGTTGATGTTTGGAAATAAAGACCAGTTGGCCTTATTAAACTTCCACCGTGATGAGGGCGGAACGTCAGATGGATTATATGTTTTCAGAATTGTAGGGAAATGATCGCTTCCACACAAATCGTCATGGACCGACCAAGTAAATTCTTTTAACAAGTTAGAATCTGATAGCGACAGGTCTGACGCAGAATGCGTCCCAGTAGCAGGATGTAAATATGTATTGGGACAATCACCAAACATACATATGTTATTATCCGAGATAAAATCCTCAAGGAGTTTCCCTTAGAATTTAGATTGACGCTTCTCCATAAGGGATTTCAGATCACCCATTATGATACACGGTTTAGGAAGCTGATCATATAGAGATTGTAGTTCAGAAAAATTAGGTGAGGTGAGTCGAAATTGGGTTTAACGTCGCGTCCAAGATTATTGCACTTATATAGCGACGTGCATGCACGTGTGTGTGTTTGTGTGGCTGCTTGTACTAGTCCGGACTGATGCCGATTTATAGTGCTAGCACACTGAGATACCATGCCGCAGTTTAACATGGATACCCCACTCAGACACAGTATACTGATGACTCCGCGCCGACCAGTCCTTGTTTTAACCCCTTAATGCCGAGCGCCAGACAGGGTAACAACAAGTACCATCTTTAACGCTAGTGACGTGGAAGCAAAACTTGGCGTGTCGCAGGATGTTGTGCTTCCTCAACTGATTGTTCGGCCACTAAGTGGTCTCAACCCAGGAATTGTCCGGGCTGGTATAATGACAGTTTGGTATCGATTCCGACGATGCAGCAACCGAATATGGTTGTCTTGTTGGCGTAACGTCACGCGTGGTCGACCGGCCCGTGGCAAGTCATGAGAGTTGCAATCCTGTAGATAACTAGAAAATATTGTGTTTCGATGAACATTAAAATGCCTAGTAACTTCGTTTGGCGCCCTTTCGTTTTGCAGCATACCCACGACGTTGATTTTCAGCGAGCCCTGGCATTACTTAAGCGTAATTTACGGGGACGGTCGGGTAGCCTAGTGGTTAAAGCGTTCGCTCGACACGCCGAAGACCCGGGTTCGAATCCCGACATGGGTACACTGTGGTGTCTGGTGTCCCGTGCCGTGATATTGCTGGAATATTGCTAAAAGCGGCGTAAAACCAAACTCACTCACTCACTCGTCATTTACGGTGTATTTACATTGTGCACATTAAAAGGAAAAGCGTGCGACTATCATGCTCCCAAGAAACGACATAAAATTCGAGGAGATGCCTTCATAAATATATTTTAAAAGATGCATCGTTTAATTTCACAATAAGTTTATTTTTATTGATCTTTATTTGAAGCACAGTTAATTTTAGAAGATTTTAGACTGTTCATGTTCATTCATCGCAGCTGACAAAAGCAACCGAAGCGAGCATAAGATAATAACATTGTATCACCCTCAAACACATATTTTCGTAACACTTCACCGACCACTCAGCCCAGGTGAGAGGCTGAAGATTCCGAGTTCGATTACCGACGGAAACGTTTAGATTGTCTCTTTGCTTTCATTTTAATTGCAGTTTGGGCCGAATTTTATTAGCGTGGTTCGAATCCCAGATTAGCAATGATCATGATTTGTTAAGTCTGAACAATACCCATACACGTGAGCTTGGCACAAATTGTAAATGTCTGCAATTTGCATCATTTATTTGTTTTCCTTCAACATGACGGTGATACGTTGATAAGCCCCTGGCAACGTTGTTGACATTCGTTAGCCTCTGCAAGTACTTGTTTAGGGACCTGGTGGTCTGTAGTTAGCACGGCCAGTCATGACTGTCAGACCGTCTCCGTCGTCTAGTGGTAGAGCGTCCCCCCGAAGAGCGGAAGGATCGGGGTTCGATCCCCGCCCGCGTCATACCAAAAGACGTCATAAGATGGTACTTGTTGTTACCCTGTCTGCGCTCGGCATCTAGGGGCTAAAACAAGGACTGGTCAGCCCAGGGTCAGTATACTGTGTCTGAGTTGGGTATTCATGTTAAACTGCGGCAGGGTTAGTGGGCTAGCATTTTAAAATCGGCATCAGTCTGGACTAGTACAAACAGCCACACACACACACGTACATGCACGTCGCTATGTAAGTGCAATAATCTTGGACGCGACGTTAAATCCCATTTCACCTCACCTCATGACTGTCGTAGGTTGGTATGTGTTGAGGTGAATGTGTTCTTTTCTAACGTCGTCGTTGCTGACACTCTCGCTAGGCCTTGCTACGTACAGTTATGAGGTCATGGCGGTCATGATGTCATGTATGAGGTCATGGCGGTCATGATATCATGTATGAGGTCATGAGGACATGTATGAGGTCATGGCGATCATGTATGAGGTCATGTGGTCATGTATGAGGTCATGGCGGTCATGAGGTCATGTATGAGGTCATGGCGGTCATGATGTCATGTATGAGGTCTTGGCGGTCATGATGTCATGTATGAGGTCAAGGCGGTCATGATATCATGTATGAGGTCATGAGGACATGTATGAGGTCATGGCGATCATGTATGAGGTCATGAGGTCATGTATGAGGTCATGGCGGTCATGAGGTCATGTATGAGGTCATGGCGGTCATGTATGAGGTCATGAGGTCCTTTATGAGGTCATGTATGAGGTCATGGCGGTCATGAGGTCATGTATGAGGTCATGGCGGTCATGAGGTCATGTATGAGGTCATGGCGGTCATGAGGTCATGGCGGTCATGAGATCATGTATGAGTGAGTGAGTGAGTGAGTGAGTGAGTGAGTGAGTGAGTGAGTTGGGTTTAACGCCGCTTCTAACAGTATTCCAGTTATATCGCGGCGTGTCAGCTTAATGAGGGAGGAAAGCCCCAAGTGATGCAGGTCTCAGACGTTTACATCTTCGGTGAAACCCACGAGCACGGGTATGGTGCTGACAAACCTAGAAACATAATCGGGGCGAACCGGGATTCGAACCCACAATCATAGGTTTCTGGCGTGCCCAAGGGACGCAACTCTGCACAGCGAATCGCGGCGGCTTAGACGACTGGGCCACCCGTGCCCCCAGATCATGTATGAGGTCATGGCGGTCATGAGGTCATGTACGAGGTCATGGCGGTCATGAGGTCATGTGTGAGGTCATGGCGGTCATGACGTCATGTATGAGGTCATTGCGGTCATGAGGTCATGCGTGAGGCCATGGCGGTCATGGGGTCATGTATGAGGTCATGGGTTTGGGGCTGAGTTAGAGTAGAATCTCATTGGTTCTTGTTATGTATCAAGTATTCGAGTTCTGCAGCTAACATGGCTAGTGATGCGACTCTAGTAGATCAAATCAAAAATTCAGTTACACCAGATCAACGTGATAGAAATCATTACCTTGTGACCATCTGAATTCAAGTAAATAAAGCTACATATAGATACGGAGATAAGGACTTCAAAACTGTTTAACGCCGCACTGAGCAATATTCCAGCTGTAAGACGGCGGTCTGTAAAAAATGAGTTTGGACCGGACAATCCAGTGATTGACATCATGAGCATCGATCCACTCAATTTGGATACGATGACATGCATCAACCAAGTCAGTGAGCCTAACCATCCGATCTCGTCAGTCGCCTCTTACGACAAGCACACTATATGTAGGTACAGAGATAAGGAAGACATAGAAGGTCTTAGACATTTACACCTGTACTTTGGTGTATGATGATCACAAACCTAGAAACAAAAACGTGACGAACCAGAACTCGAACACAGGATCATAGGATCCGACACGCATAAGGGGCGCAACTCTGCACAACGAATTGAGAGTAAGTAAAAGTCTATTTAGAAATAACGCGTGAATGAAGAACGAGAAGAAATAATGTTGCGTGCACGCTTTATTCAAGGTCGACGTCATCACATTCAGAAGGCCACGTATACAAACGTGTATGGTAGGTCAGGTTCGTTGGTCTTTATCAACATCGTCAGGTTAATAATGTCCTGAAATGAAAAAGAAGATTGGTTATTGTTGTTGTTGGTGTTGGTGTTTGTTTGTTGTTTAACGCCGCACTCAGCAATATTCCAGCTATATGACGGCGGTCTGTAAATAATCGAGTCTGGACCAGACAATCCAGTGATTGATATCATGAGCATCGATCCACGCAATTGGAATCGATGACATGCATGAACCAAGTCAGCGAGCCTGACCACCCGATCCCGTTAGTCGCCTTTTACGACCAGCATAGTCGCCTTTAACGGCAAGCATGGGTTGCTGAAGACCTATTCTACTCCAGATCTTCACGGGTCAGAAGATTGGTAAAGAATGTGACAATCGCCCGACACAGCTTGGGGATTATGTCTTGAACTTCAACTCTGAAAGGTGATCTGTTAGACTAAGCAATGTCTAAAAGTAAAATAACCTGATGTGCATGTCACGGATAAATTTATAGATTCTGTTTGAATCATCAGTGGGCTTTTTCGCCAGGATATATTTCGCGTATCGTTTAGTACACGAGGAGATATAATTCTGAATGAGACTCAATACAGCAAGGCGAGAATGGTTCCACCTACTTCCAAAACCTCCGAATCTTCCAAGACCTCCGTGACCGAATCCTCCAAGACCTCCGTAACCGAATCCTCCAAGACCTCCGTAACCGAGTCCTCCAAGACCTCCGTAACCGAGTCCTCCAAGACCACCGAATCCTCCAAGACCTCCGTAACCGAGTCCTCCAAGTCCTCCAAGTCCTCCGTAACCGAGTCCTCCAAGACCACCGAATCCTCCAAGTCCTCCGTAACCGAGTCCTCCAAGTCTTCCAAATCCTCCAAGTCCGTGGCCTAATCCGTATCCTCCAAGTCCACCATATCCCAATCCTCCTAATCCTCCAAATCCACCGTAAAGACCCTTACTGTAGCCAATAGGCTCGGCGACAGCGGCCGCCACCAGGCATGCTACCAAGACAATGACGGAGTTCATGGTGCTGGCTTGCTGGAAAATAATTGGTATCCTTATTGTAATCTTAGGAAGATAGTATGTTTATGCAACAAACTCGTGACATTTAACATTCCTACCTGTACGTACAAAATACATAAATAATTATGAAGACATTCCTAACCAAATTATTACACTAAACACGTTTGTGTCAGTCAGGCACATCCCGTGGGGATCTGAGGAAGAATGCATCCCCAGTACCCCACTGCTGGTCGTAAAGGCTTCCGAATTGGGTTGGTTGGTTGTTGGTGTTATGAGGAGAGTATGTACTCCTATTAAATTCACATATTGTAACCATGTTTGGGTTCGAGCTCTAAGTGTATCTCTGCTGGCTTTTTATTGTGTCTAGATGTTGATGTTTGTTGTTTAACGCTGCACTCAGCAATATTCCAACTATGTGAAGGCGATCTGTAAATAATCGAGTCTGGACCAGACAATTCAGTGACTGACATCATGAGCATCCATCCACGCAGTTGGGATACGATGACATGCATGAAACAAGTCAGCGAGGCTGACAACCCGATCCCGTTAGTTGCCTCTTACGACAAGCATAGTTGCCTTTTACGACAAGCATGGTTTGCTGAAGATCTTTTCTTCCCAGGATCTTCACGGATAGAGTACAATGAATGAAGCCCACTTATGGCGTCGCCCGCCGTGATATTGCTGGACTATTCGTGAAGACCATGTGCGGTCACTCACAAAAAGATAAAAGGTCAAAGAAGAGTGACAGTTCTATGACTCAAAAATATCTTTGAACCATACTTGGTTGTGCAGCTTTTATAATTACTATTTTAATCACTGGATTGTCCGGGATATTGATGATATTGGGATACGATGACATGCATGAACCAAGTCAGAGAGGCTGACTATCCGATCCCGTTAGTCGGCTCTTACGACAAGCATAGTCGCCTTTTACGACAAGCATGGTTTGCTGATTATCTATTCTACCCAGGATCTTCACGGATCGGGTACAATAAATGAAGCCCACTTATAGCGTCGCCCGCCGTGATATTGCTGGGCTTAGGAAAGACCATGTACGGTCACTCACATAAAGATATAAGGTCAGAGAAGAGTGACAGTTCTATGACTCAAAAATATCTTTGAACCATACTTGGTTGTGCAGCTTTTATAATTACTATTTTAATCACTGGATTGTCCGGGATATTGATGATATTGGGATACGATGACATGCATGAACCAAGTCAGAGAGGCTGACTCTCCGATCCCGTTAGTCGGCTCTTACGACAAGCATAGTCGCCTTTTACGACAAGCATGGTTTGCTGATTATCTATTCTACCCAGGATCTTCACGGATCGGGTACAATAAATGAAGCCCACTTATAGCGTCGCCCGCCGTGATATTGCTGGGCTTAGGAAAGACCATGTACGGTCACTCACATAAAGATATAAGGTCAGAGAAGAGTGACAGTTCAATGACTCAAAATTATCTTTGGTTGGGCAGCTTATATAATTACTATTTTAATTGCCTAACGCGATGTGTCTCTGTATAGCTAAGATGTCATGGCAACGCCGCTACGGAAGATGTCAGTAGAAATGGTCAAAGCAAAGAATAATCTATATCTATAAAAATTGTGAAAGCTTCACTCACCTGGGGATGATGTGTTGACGAAGATTGCCTTGAAGGAGGATATGGTAAAAATGAAATGAAAACAGGAGTATATATACAAGTACAGTGACCATGTGACCACCGCGTGAAAACCACTCCTGTTTTCAAGCTTCCTGTTCCTTTACCCACGGCAAAAAAATGCCAACATCACTCATAGATCTGGGGCAGTCACGCCACCGTCACGTTTTAACCCCCCACCCACCCACCCACCCCCCGTCCCCCATGCACCCACTCGACCCCCCTCTGCAATCTCCAACCCTATCTGCTGATTTCACCGTTCACTATTTCTCTGACTTTTAACTGCCCTCAACCCTAGTTTACTTTAATGATTAATAATTTAATAATAAACGACAATATTATAATATCAGTACGTTTACGTTACAGATTGATAACATGTTTCATAATGAACATCAGAAAGTACTTGAAAGGACAAGTTATCATAGGTCGATATCGATTTTAATTGAAATCTTTCAACTTTCGCATTCCCGTTCAAACTGCACTGCATATCAAAAGCGAAATAAAATCGAAAAGACGTGTCACCACATTCGCAAAGAACACACTTACTTGGAGATTTGTTTTTTTCGAATAATTGTTTGTTGTTTGTTTGTTTGTTGTTTAACGTCGCACTCAGCAATATTCCAGCTATATGACGGCATTCTGTAAATAATCGAGTCTGGACTAGTCCGAGTGAGTGAGTGAGTGAGTGAGTGAGTGAGTGATTGATTGAGTGATTGATTGATTGATTGATTGAGTGAGTGAGTGAGTGAGTGAGTGAGTGAGTGAGTGAGTGAGTGAGTGAGTGAGTGAGTGAGTGAGTGAGTGAGTGAGTATGGTTTTACGCAGCTTTTAGCAACATTCCAGCAATATCACGGCGGGAGACACCAGAAATGGGCTTCACACATTTAACCCATGTCGGGAATCGGACCCGGGTCTTCGGCGTGACGAGCGAACGCTTTAACCACTAGACTACCCGACCGCCTCATATTGCTGAGTGCGTCGTCAAACAATACACAACAAAACTTCATGTGTAATTACATACTTGTCAGACTCCCTGCATTATATCGATGGTAAGAAAGCAAAACGTGATCATGCAAGTCAAACAGACGACAGAATAAATAGTTCACGGGAAAGTAGAACATGGTGGCATCTTGTTAAAACTTGCACTACATCTGTTGGTTGGTTGTTTAATGCCGCACTCAGCAATATTCAAGCTATATGACGGCGGTCTGTGAATAATCGAGTCTGGACCAGACAATCCAGTGATTGATAGCATGAGCATCGATCCACGCAATTGGGATACGATGACATGCATCAACCAAGTCAGCGAGCCTGACCACCCGATCCCGTTAGTCGCCTTTTACGACAAGCATAGTCACCTTTTACAGCAAGTATGGGTTGCTGAAGACCTATTCCACCCCGGAATCTTCACGGGTCGCATTACATCTAAGACGATAGCTTCTTCTTTTCTGCCCATAACTTGCAATTATATTGTTTATGATACAGATGTTGAAGTACGGGTTGACAAACCTGACAGTCCTGTATTAACAGAATATAAAGTACAATAGACATCAAGTGATACATTTTTCTCTCAGGGAGGGGAATGGGATGCCTTGTTGTCTGTTGATGTTACTGGTGACCAGATGGTATTGGAAACATATGAATCAAAATGATCGCCAAGTGAGGTGAGGTGAAATTGGGTTTAACGTCGCGTCCAAGATTATTGCACTTATATAGCGACGTGCATGCACATATTTGTGTGTGTGGCTGCTTGTACTAGTCTGGACTGATGCCGATTTATAGTGCTAGCTCACTGAGATACCATGCCGCAGTTTAACATGAATACCCCACTAAGACACAGTATACTGACTCCGAGCCGACCAGTCCTTGTTTTAGCCCCTTAATGCCGAGCGCCAGACAGGGTAACAACAAGTACAATCTTTTAACATCTTTTTGTATGACGCGGCCGGATCGCAAAGTGCTTATCCCCATGTTACCGAAGTTGTTGTTAAGAAGTGCCAATATATTAAATCTTCATTACAAAAGGTTATCCACCTGCTGAATTATGCCAATAACATCACACCCCTAGCTGCCCTGGTGTCGCAAATGTTTGACCGACGAAGGTCGACACTTGCTTATATATAATTATGTACATTACTAACTAATTTATTAACAATTTCACACCCTTTCAGCATACATGATAGATAATTGTCATTGTTACCTTTATATATTTTAAACCAATATCTTAAACTATATTTCAACAGACATTTGTTGAATTGTAGTGTCTCATAGGCCAAATCTGGCCAGACACATTTATATGTGTGTGACACTTTAATAAAATATCTTCTTCTTCTTCTTCTATTAACATATGTAAGGTGGCTTTTTCTTTCTCGGCAATACTTGTTAATGATACTGTTTATGAACAGATGCTAAAATAGCCAAGATTTTAATGAGTATTTTTGTGAACAGGCACGGGTAGACTTACCAGATAATCCCTCTGTTTTAACAGAATATATTCTACACGAATATGGTTTTCTCTCAGAAAGAGGTGTGCGATGTCTTGCTGCCTGTTGATGTTAGAAAAACAACTGGGCGTGTTTGTATTGGAAACAGATTAATCAAAATGATCGCCAAGAGCTTATAGCTTACATGTTACTGAATTATCAAATTTATTTATTCGAAATGTTGTGTTTCCTGGAAAGAAGCAAACGTGACACCTATTGACAAAATGTGATATAATAAATTGTACCAACTGCAGACCAGTTCCTTGAACTTCAAGCTTCGCCAAGACGTTGTAGAGGTATGTCTTCAAGTATGTCTTTAATTTTCTCATAGATAATGATATTTTGTCAACATTACAGTGGGGTTTTATACCTGGGGGTCCAACGCAATGTTAACTCATGTACTTATACAATGAGAGAGTTACTGCTTTAGATAATGGTAAAGACGTAAGGACAGTGTTCTGTGATATAAGTATGGCAATTTGATAAGGTATGACACAAGGGATTGTTATCTAAATGAGTGAGGGAGTGAGTTGGGTTTAACGCCGCTTGTCACAGTATTACAGTCATATCACGCCGTGTCAGCTTAATGTGGGAGGAAAGCCCGAAGTGATGCAGATCTCAGACGTTTACATCTTCGGTAAAACCCACGAGCATGGGTATGGGGCTGACAAACCTAGAAACATAATCGGGGCGAACCGGGATTCGAACCCACAATCATAGGTTTCTGGCGTGGCCAAGGGACGCAACTCTGCACAGCGAATCGCAGCTCCTTAGACGACTGGGTTTCACCGAAGAAGTAAACGTCTGAGACCTGGGCTTTCCTCCCACATTAAGCTGACACGCCGTGATATAACTGGAATACTGTTAAAAGCGGCGTTAAACCCAACTCAATCACTCATTTTAATACTAATCTGCAAGTTATTGCTATCCGACTTACATTGAATTTACTTACTGCTCTCTGTATATCCCACCTTCATCTGCTTTTCAACAGTATGATCTTCAGAATCTATATGATCAGCTCCCTAAGTGTGAAAGTGTGGAAGTGCAAGTACCAACAAAAAGGTGCAAATCCCCTTGAATAATTGTTTCTGATAATTATCTATGTGTATTTAATGACGATTCAAGCACCTATTTACATCCTGCCACTGGAACTTATTTTGTGATCACTTCCCTACTGTAGTGAAAGCTGTAAAACCGGATGATGGCCCACCTTAGAATTTTACGAAGGCCAATTAGTCCTTGTATGAAATGGTATGTGTTGAAAAATAAAACCGGACAATTTCAGAAATCTATCCAATTGTTTTCGGACCAACGAAATAATATTGTTGTCTCAACAATTCCGGAGTCCTCTGCAAATCCCCACATGGTTTAGTAACAACTGCATACAAGAAAGAAACTGTAGGAGGAAAGCGTAGCGTAAATATTCTTGGAGAAACTCCCTTGTACACCCTTGTCCACGGTTAAGAAAAAGGCAAATGTTCAAAATCACATTAATAACTGATAAATCTGACATTAAGCTTGACCAAAAACCCTTCATCATCAAATTATATCCCCGAGTGTCAGAGATATGAGAAACAACAGGAAAAGAAAATGTTAATTTTGATTAAAAAAACGGGGAAGATTACAAGGAAGTGTTTTCATTACATGAGCTACATTCCTCTCTTGAGCAAGCTCATGCATGCTACATCAGGGGATGATAATATCCACGATCAGTTATTGAAGCATTTGAGATACTTTTAGATATATTTAACCAGTTTCGTTTTCAAAACCATGGAACAAATGGTAAATAATAAATTAGTTTGGTATTTGGAAACCAATAATTTTACTACAAATATTAAATGTGGTTTCCTTTGTTAAAAATGCTAATGTTAACGTAATGTCAAAGCTTATGAGTGCGTCGTCAAAAAATGAACAAACAAAACTTCATGTGTAATTACATACTTGTCAGTCTCCCTGCATTATATCGATGGTAAGAAAGCAAAACATGATCATGCAAGTCAAACAGACGACAGAATAAATAGTTCACGGGGAAGTAGAACATGGTGGCATCTTGTTAAGACTTGCATTACATGTGTTGGTTGGTTGTTTAACGCCGCACTCAGCAATATTCCAGCTATATGACGGCGGTCTGTAAATAATCGAGTCTGGACCAGACAATCCAGTGATTGATAGCATGAGCATCGACCCACGCAATTGGGATACGATGACATGCTGCAACCAAGTCAGCGAGCCTGACCACCCGATCCCGTTAGTCGCCTTTTACGACAAGCATAGTCACCTTTTTACGGCAAGGATGGGTTGCTGAAGACCTATTCCACCCCGGAATCTTCACGGGTCGCATTACATCTAAGACGATAGCTTCTTCTTTTCTGCCCATAACTTGCAATTATATTGTTTATGATACAGATGGAACGAATGGTAAATAATAAATTAGTTTGGTATTTGGAAACCAATAATTTTACCACAAATATTAAATGTGGTTTCCTTTGTTAAAAATGCTAATGTTAACGTAATGTCAAAGCTTATATGGCATTTAAAAAGATTTATATGGTTCGGTTTGAGAGGTCGTTTAACTCATTTTACATCACAGATTTTAACAGACACACAATT